GTACATTTGCCATTTTAGAAATGTGACGACACAGTGGAATCAATAAAACAAAGTTAACACAGGTTTTCAAAGGTTCCTGCATGCCAAGGCACTGCATAGGTTGACAGTGTCAAGAAAAACACTTACTAAAGCAGACAAAGGCACCTGCAAACTGTTATCATAGGTTCTGATTCAGCAAGGGAAATAAGCATGTGTGTAACCTGAAGCATGTGAGCAGTCCCACTGAATTCAATGGAACTACATAGCTATAAGTAGGGTCCTACAAAATTCATGGCCATGAAAAACACGTCACAGACCGTGAAATCTGGTCTTTTGTGTGCTTTTACTGTATACGATACAGATTTCACAGGGGAGACCAGCATTTTGGGGGTCCTGACCCAAGAGGGAGTTGCAGGGGGGTCACTGTATTGCCACCCTCACTTCTGCGCTGCCTTCAGACCTGAGTGGCTGGAGAGCGGCGGCTGTTGGCCAGGCGCCCAGCTCTGAAGGCAGCACCCCCCGCCAGCAGCAGCAGCAGAGAAGTAAGCATGGCAATACTATACCATGCCACCCTTGCTTCTGTGCTGCTGCCTTCAGAGCAGGGTGGCTGGAGAGTGGCGGCTACTGGCTGAGGGCCCAGCTCTGCAGGCAGCAGTGCAGCAGTAAGGGTGGCAATACCATACCCTGCCTTCCTTACTTCTGCGCTGCTGCTGGCGGCAGCTCTGCCTTCAGAGATGGGCTTCCTGCCAACAGAGCCGCTCTCCAGCTGCCCAGCTGTGAAGACAGTGCCGCCGCCAGCAGCAGTAAGGGTAGCAATACCGTAACTCCCACTACAATAATCTTGTGACCCCTTTTTGGGTCAGGACCCCTACAATTACAACACCGTGAAATTTCAGATTTAAATAGCTGAAATCATGAAATGTACGATTTAAAAAATCCTAGAACCGTGAAACTGACCAAAATGGACTGTGAATTTGGTAGGGCTCTAGCTATAAGCACTGTGGCTCTGACCCAGCAAAGCACATAATGCACATCGATAGTCTCATTGAAGTCAATGGGGCTACTCGTGCTTAAAGTTAAGCATGTGATTAAGGTAAAATTTCCAAAAGTGCCTAAAGTCCAATCTTGCAAATAACTATTTAACTTTACTACCATGAGCAGTCCCATTGTAACCTGCAAAGCTTTACTTACATGGGGTGTGATCCAAAGCACACTGAAATGAGTGGGAGTCTCCAGTGGCTTTAATGACCTTTGGATCAAGCATATGATTAGTTCTATTTAAGTCAAGTCAATGAGACTACCTGCAAGGATCAGGCCTTCGGGTTCTTCTTTAAGAATCTCTTTAAGGGAGACAGGACAATTGTCCTTCCCCACAAAGGCCGAGTTAAATAAAATAAAATCATACAAGCCCAGTGCTGCATGATGAGAGTGTCATGGCAACGTTTTTTGAACATCAGAACTGGAGCATAATCTTCTGAAGGATTCGTTGAGATTGCATCTTGTACTTTCTCTATCTGCATCCACGCCAAACCTGTCTGGGCAGCTTAAGGGAATAATTGTGTTGAAAGGAATAATAGACAGCATTGCTACGGCACTGCTGACTGTGAGTGGAGATTTTTGGTTACCTAGCCCCAACTAGCAGTATTTTATTTCCAGTGCGCAAAATATTAAAATGCATTTAGAAGCGTGCAGCAGAAAAGTGACACATAAAATCAAAATCTAACCTTAACCAACTGACAGAAAATAGACATGGTTGGATTCTATGATCTGCCAAGTTCACCTTGCCCTGCTTACATTGCATGGCACACAGTGGGCTACGGTAGCTGGAGATTTACACTGGAGAATTCCCCCCCTGTAGAAAGGGAATCTCTGCCAGTGTCAAGTGCTGGAAACCACTCTTGCAAGTCCAGGGAGGGAGAGTGTGAAAAGCATGGGGAAGGGAGGCGGCGTGGCTGAGCGAGTCTTTGCTACTCCTGATTCTCCATTGGTGTAAGGTCCCTCAGTAGAGTAAGTCAAAGTTGCCCCTATCCGGCCTTAACTTATACCAGAGCCAAGCAGCTGAAGATCCGGGAGTCACTATTGTCTCCCTGACCCCTCTGCACTATGCCTGGGCTGTTTCAGGTGCAGTGGAAAATCAAGCCCACAGAATCTGATTCTAATAAGTTTCCAGGATTGGCACTCTGAAGCCTACTGCGTCTGTTGAGTCAGTGTGAAGCACTGGAAACAGCTACAAACAAGGCTGAGAGCTCTTTTTATTCAGAATATCACCAGGTTCAATTATCATTGGATTTTGCAGTCTGTCACTATCCAATTTTTAAGTTCTCTGCCATTTTGACTTTACAAATTACACCTGAGTGCAGAGGTGCTGGAACTAGGGGGCTGCCACACCCCCTGGCTTGAAGTAGTAATAACAACCCACATACATGGTTTCTGCCTTCAGCACCACCCCACTATAAAAATTGCTCCAGCACCACTGCCTGAGTGACAGCAGGGCATGTATCTATGCCATGCAAAGAGTCGATTCTGATGTCAGAGGTAACTCAACATAAGAACATAAGAATGGCCATACTGAGTCAGACCAAGGGTCCATCCAGCCCAGTATCCTGTCTGCCGACAGCGGCCAATGCCAGGTGCCCCAGAGGGAGTGAACCTAACAGGTAATGATCAAGTGATCTCTCTCCTGCCATCCATCTCCACCCTCTGACAACAGAGGCTAGGGACACCATTCCTTACCCATCCTGACTAATAGCCATTAATGGACTTAACTTCCATGAATTTATCCAGTTCTCTTTTAAACCCTGTTATAGTCCTAGCCTTCACAACCTCATCAGGCAAGGAGTTCCACAGGTTGACTGTGTGCTGTGTGAAGAAGAACTTCCTTTTATTTGTTTTAAACCTGCTGCCCATTAATTTCATTATGGGAACAAGTAAATAACTTTTCCTTATCCACTTTCTCCACACCCCTCTTGATTTTATATACCTCTATCATATCCCCCCCTTAGTCTCCACTTTTCCAAGCTGAAAAGTCCTAGCCTCTTTAATCTCTCCTCATATGGGACCCATTCCAAACCCCTAATCATTTTAGTTGCCCTTCTCTGAACCTTTTCTAATCCCAGTATATCTTTTTTGAGATGAGGAGACCACATCTGTACGCAGTATTCAAGATGTGGGCGTACCATGGATTTATATAAGGGCAATAAGATATTCTCCGTCTTATTCTCTATCCCTTGTGTAATGATTCCTAACATCCTGTTTGCTTTTTTGACTGCCACTGCATACTGTGTGGACGTCTTCAGAGAACTATCCACGATGACTCCAAGATCTCTTTCCTGATTAGTTGTAGCTAAATTAGCCCCCATCATATTGTATGTATAGTTGGGGTTATTTTTTCCAATGTGCATTCCTTTACATTTATCCACGTTAAATTTCATTTGCCATTTTGTTGCCCAATCACTTAATTTTGTGAAATCTTTTTGAAGTTCTTCACAGTCTGCTTTGGTCTTAACTATCTTGAGCAGTTTAGTATTGTCTGAAAACTTTGCCACCTCTCTGTTTACCCGTTTCTCCAGATCATTTATGAATAAGTTGAATAGGATTGGTCCTAGGACTGACCCTTGGGGAACACCACTAGTTACCCCTCTCCATTCTGAAAATTTACCATTTATTCCTACCCTTTGTTCCCTGTCTTTTAACCAGTCCTCAATCCATGAAAGGTTCTTCCCTCTCATCCCATAACAACTTAATTTACGTAAGAGCCTTTGGTGAGGGAACTTGTCAAAGGCTTTCTGGAAATCTAAGTACACTATGTCCACTGGATCCCCCTTGTCCACATGTTTGTTGACCCCTTCAAAGAACTCTAATAGATTAGTGAGACATGATTTCCCTTTACAGAAACCACGTTGACTTTTGCCCAACAATTTATGTTCTTCTATGTGTCTGACAATTTTATTCTTTACTATTGTTTCAACTAATTTGCCCGGTACTGAGGTTAGACTTACCGGTCTGTAATTGCCGGGATCACCTCTAGAGCCCTTTTAAAATATTGGCATTACATTAGCTATCTTCCAGTCATTGGGTACAGAAGCTGATTTAAAGGACAGGTTACAAACCATAGTTAATAGTTCCGCAATTTCACATTTGAGTTCTTTCAGAACTCAACCAATCACCACGCTTACTCTACAGCTTATTTGCATGGAACAAATTCATTGGTTCTGTGAGGGAGACTGCTCAGATGGTGGACTACTTGGCTTAACTGCCCACACCCATGCACCCAACTGCAACCCACACAAATCAACATAAACCCCCCAGCACAATCCCTCAGACACAAATCAACACAACCACCTATACCCATAAACACCACCACAACCAGTACATACAATTACCCAAATACGTAGCTCCTCACCACACACCCCTCGCTTTGTCACCCACACAAATCTACACAATTCTCCCAGCACAATGCAACTGACACACAAATCAACATAATCACTGACACAACAACCCCAAACATCACTCTGAAGCCTAGAATGTCTCTTGAGTTACTGTGAAGTGACAAATACAGCTACAAGTATGTTTGAGAGCTCTTTTTGTTTAGCATATCATCAGGTTCAATCATCACTGGGATTTGTGGTTTGTTACTGTCCAATTTTTAAGTTCTCAGACATTTTCAGCTTTTTTACACACAACTTTACGAATTACACCTATGCAATAGCATGGGTTTTCAGTTACTAGTCTAATAATAATAGTTGATCTTAAGTAGAAAATATCATGAACCAGATTCTGCTCTCAGTTACAGTGGTGTAAAGCCAGAGTAATTAGAGTCAACAGGTCTGAGTCTTCTTTTACATTGGTGTACATCAGAAGTAACCCCTCTGAAGTCAATGGAGTTACACTGGTGTAAAAGTGGTCTGAAATCAAAATCAGGCCCAGTGGAATTCCTCTGGATTTACATTGGTGTAACTGAACGCAGAAGTTGTCCCCAAGTGATTAGGCATCTCACAAAACTCTGAAGATTAAACGGTTACCTTCTTTAAATTTTGTTTGATAGTTGTACTGTCTCGCTCCACAACCTTCATCATTTCTTGGCTTGCCATATATAGGACATTCGCTGCAGAAAAAGAAATGCACAGTAATGCAATTAGAAAGCAAATCTCTTACACTTACAGCAAGCTATGGGCCCAATCCTGCAAACAAATGCTACCGGCTGTGCACTTATTATCCTGCAAAATCCACGGAAAGCAACACAGTTGATAGAAAGCGTTCGCAGGACTGGGCCTTGGGCCCTAAAATATCAAGCAACATATCAGATAATTTTCAGTGAAATTCACTTTTCACTATTCATATGACACAGCCACTTTGCTATCGACTTTCTGAGAGGGCTACCTGACCCAAAGTATTAGTGAAGAAAAAGGTGCAATGTATTAATTAATTATTATTATATTCTTCTCTGCCATCTTTAGTATGCTCTTTTGGAATAATCAGAATGGATGGAATTCTCAGCACTCAGACAGCATTTTTTCATTTTCAAAGCACTTTGCAAATATATACAGTAATTTATTTTCTCAATACTCCTGTAAGTTAGGTAATTCTGAGTTAATGTTAATTCTTCTTCTTCTTCTTCTTCTATGGATTGTGGTAGTGCCTAGAGGTTCCAATCACAACCCAGGGCCCCTTTGTGCTAGGTACTGCACTAGCACAGACTCTAAGCTATCTGGCTGTCAGAAGCAATCCTCACCTGAGGAGGGAATGGTCCATGACGGCTAATACTACGCTGGCTGCTGGTTTTTCAGGAGAGACTTTCTAAAAACAGGGTCCTGTCTGCTTACTATGGACATAAAAGACCCCAGGAGGCCCTCTGTGGATGGCGTACCTGGCCATGGCCCCTCCTCCCAACCATGTCTTCTTGGCAGCCATCGCCAGGGTGGCTGGTTGCTAGCAGTGCTTTGTGTATAGTCTGATCTGGCTCCAGTTGAAGTCCACGGTAGTTTTGCCACTAATTTGCAAGAGCACCAGAAGCCAGCCTGTTGGGATTGGGATGAATGGGGCTATATACATTAAAAATATTACTGACCACCAACGTGGAACTTGACAATCTTGCTAGGGATACCGCATGCAATTTCCTGTTCTCAGCTCAGCACAACAGCGACAGCAAAACTGAGTTAGGGCAAGGACAGACATCTAAAATGTCTTCTGCCTGCAGCCTATTTAGAGTCTCCTGTCTCCCCTCTTCCCACCTTAGCCAATCCTCTCTCCCATCTCTGCTTCAGGAGGTGACAGATTGCTCACTGATGGGTTCTGTTGAGACATATTGAGTTGCTGTTGCGGTATTTGCCCACAAAGATGGTTTTTCCTCTTCAGGGAGCGCAGAAGCAACCACTTGCACAACAAAAAGAAAAGAGTCCGGGGCTGCCCAATTCCCACCGAAATTCAGTGGGAGTTAAGAACCAAACTCCCTTAGGCTCCTGCAAAGTTCCGAGCCTTGGGCTACAATTTTCATGTGCAACTGATGATTTTGGGTGCACAAAATGAGACACCTTTAGGGTTACCATATTTCAGGTTCCCAAAAAGAGGACACTGCTGGGGTAGGGGGTGCTGGTGGGGGAGCTGGAGGGATGTGTGTGTGTATTGGGAGGGATATTTGGGGGTACTGGAGGGGTGTGTGTACTGGGACGGAGCTTGGGGGTGCTGGAGGAGTGTGTGTACTGGTAGGGAATATTTGGGGGGCCGCTGCAGGGGTGTGTGAGTACTGGGAAGGGTACCGTGGTGGTACCGGAGCAGGTACCTCACTCTTGAGGTGGGGGGCAGTGTCACTTCCTATCACAGTGGTAAAGTGGCTGGCGCAGGCCCGGGACGCAGTGCCAGCCGTCAGTCAAAGCCTCCCTGCCTCTCCCCATCCCCAGGGCTGGGAGCCAGGGCCTGAGTGGGCAGGATCTGTGGCTGCAAGGAAGGAACCAATGAGCTACGACTGCAGGAAAGGGACCAGTCGGGACACAGAGACAGCTCTTTCTGAGCTGCCACGTCTGCTTGCAAAAATTCTGGACATTGCCTCTTATTTGAAAAGTCCCCCCGGACAGAGGGCGGAGGATTAAAATAGATATTGTATCCAGGAAAACCAGGACGTGTGGTAACCTTAGACACACGGAGCATGACTTTCAGAAGTGCTGAGCACCTGCAGATTCGGCTGGCTCCCAGTGGAGTAGTGGCTGCTCAGCATCTCTGAAAATCAGACCGAAGGCATCTCAGATCAGAGGCCATTTTCAAAAACATTGGCTTTAAAGTGCACTGAAAAATAGGAAATGTAGTAGAATCAATATGGGTACAAACCCCGAGCTGTGAGAATGTTTATATAGCAGTAGGGCTACACTACTGGCCTCTGGATCAAGAAAAAGAAACTGAGTGCACAGCGGTGAAGGATTAAAAAGAGGTAGCAAAATCTAGCAAAATAGTAATAAAGGTGGAATTCAATTACCCACATAAACGGGTTAAACAGCACAACAGGACAAAGTTTAGAGAAACAATTTCTTGACACTTTAACACTATAGACACTTTGAGTGACTGCTTGGAATAGCCAGTTCTAGAGCACACAAGAGGAGAGGTTATTCTTGATATCTTAGGAAACACATAGAAGGTAATCAAGAAGTGACAATGGCTGTGCCACTAAGTAACAGTGACCACAACATAACTAGCTCAAGATGTAAAAACAAAGAACAAGGGGAAGGAAACCTGCAATAGACTTGGGGAGCCTGTGGGATCATCAGGGCTAAAGGGAACAAATAAGGAAGATAAGGACATTGCTGAGAAGCCAAATGATTTCTTTGCCTGGTCTTTATCAATTAGAATGTTGGGGAGATTCTTACTTCAGACCTGCTCTTTTCTCGTAATAAGGATGAGATGTGCTAACAGTCTGAGGTGCCAGAAAAATTACTGCTGGAGCAAACTGATCATTTAGAAAGTATAAGTCATCAGGCCCAGATGGTGTATCCAAGAGTTCTGAAGAAGCTTAAATAAGAAGTGGCTGAACTGCTAACAAAAAAATTGCAATCTCATTAAACATAGCCACTGTTCCAGAGATTTAGAGAGCAGCAAGTGTTGTATCTATATTTTAAAAAGACCCTGGAGTGAACCAGAGAATTATCGACTGGTAAGCCTTACATCTGCAGCTGGTAAATTGATTGAAATGATAACTGAAAACTGAACAACAAAACACCTGGAAGGTGTCTAACTAACGTGGAGTCTGAAAAGGAAAATCATGTTTCACTAATCTCTTATAATTCTTGAATGTGTCAATGAAGTAGTGGATAAAGGAGAACCAGTTGACATAATTTATTTAGACTTCCAAAAGGCCTTTGACAAAGTTCCACAGAAAAGGCTAATAAAGAAGATAAGTAGTAACAGCATGAGAGGCAAAGTGTTGCCTGGATCAAAAACTGGCAACGAGACAGAAAACAAAGGGTAAGATTAAATGGCAAAAGGTTAACAGCAGTTGCTTCAAGGTTCCATACTAGGTCCTGTGTTGTTTAATAAATTTATTAATGACCTGGAAAGGGGACTGAGTAGTGAGGTAGCAACATTTGCAGATGACATTTAGGTTAGTCAGGATCAGACAAGACTGTGAGGAACTTCAGACAGACCTAAACAAATTAGGTGAAAGGGCAACGCAATGGCAAATTAAATTCAGTGTCAATAAATACACAGTAATCCATGTGGGGAGGAAAATTTTTAACTATTTGGACCTCTTACAGGGGTCTAACTGAACAGTATCAGCTCAAAGAAGGGACCTGGATGTCACTGTAGACAATTCAATGAAAACCTCTGCTCAGTGTGCAGCTGCAGTTAAAAAAGCAAACAAGATGTTAGGTTGCACAAGGAATGGGATGGTGAATAATACAGAGAAAACTGAAATGTAAATCAATGGTGCAGCCTCATCTGGAATACTGTGTGTAGTATTGGTCACCCCATCTGATATAAGGTATTACAGAACTAGGTGGATTCAGAGAAAGGTGGCAAGAATAATCTAAGGCATAAAAAAAATCATACAAAGAGAGACTGAAAAGACTGGGATTGTTCACTTAAATAAGGCGATGAATGAGAGAGGACATGATACCAATATATGAAATATGGTATAGAGAAGGTAGATTGGGAACGTCTGTTCTCGCTGTCTCATAACACAAGAACAAGAGGGCAGTCAGTGCAATTAAAAGGTGGAAAATTAAAAAAAAATACTTTTTCCACACACAGTGTGATTAAACCTTGGAACTCAGTGCCACAGGAAGTTGTTGAGGCGAAGAACTTAACAAGATTCAAAATGGGATTGCACATTTATATGGAAAACATATAACCATTTTTTTTGGTGCAAGGGATGTTAAACCTCATGCATAAGGTCTTAAGCCCGTCTCTAACTATTAGAAATGTGGAAGAGACCTAATGTAGAAGGCAGATCACCCCACATCTGCAGACTGAGGGGTTCTTACACCTTAATCTGAAACATCTGGCATTGGCCAATGTCAGAAACAGAACAGTGGACAAGATGGGCCTCAGATCTGATCTAGTCTGGCAATTCCTAAATTCTTAAACACAATGCTTTTGGAGTACATCGTGAAATTTACTCCTCTTCCTAATTATTATTTTATCAGGGCTAGTGGTGATATTTTAAAAAGTAACTTCTCCAGATATTTATATAAAAATCTAACCTGAAAATAACTCAAATGCTCAACCAAAAAGGAAAGGGTACAGAAAACATCAGTGTACTGGGTGAATGACGAATATTCACCATTTATTTAAAAACACCCCTCCCCCCCACCCCTCTCCCAACCCACCCCTCTCTACAAGGGGCCAACCAAGTGAAAATGCCTGGGGCTTGGACTTTCAAAGATACTGAGTAGCCACAAGTTGATTGATTTCAATTAGAACGGTAGGTGCTCAGCACTTGTGAAAATTAGCCCCTTAACTTCTTGTGATAGTAAAAACTGGTAACACCTTCCTACTGCTATTTCTTCGGTGATCAATATAATAACGGAATACAAAGGGTTTTTTTATAATTAATATTCTATTTAGTAGTTTAAATGCAATAGGACAGGTATAAATATATACTGCAGCAATAAAATACAT